CCCCCCCCCCATTCTAGGCTACATGCATCTGCTACAGTTTGTCCTGCTGGAATGTGAAGTGATTTGTCATACAGGTGTGATGGAGTGAGTTCAATCCAATAAGGTGTCAGAATAGTTTTTATCAGGGCTATTCAACTGGCGGCCCCGCGAGTAACCAAAGTTCAACCCGCCAATTGGTTCATTCATCTCTTAAACTAAAACCCCCCGTTTTCCACTTTAACTTCTGTAAGTTCTTTTAGTTAAACATAGACATGTTTGGTATCTACAAAAACATCAGAATCTTGGCTACTAGCTGGTAAAATCCATTTCTATGAACATTCAAGACAATTAAAACTACAAACAGTTGAAGATAAAACTATGAAAGTGAAAATAAAATGTGTTTAAAAATTTTGCAAGGCAGAGATGTCAAAATAATATGTGTTAAATAGTGTGTTATTTTTGTTTTTGATATTGTTTTATTATCACTATTGTTATTACATAGGGTTTGGTATGTTGTATTATTGATTAAATGCCACAAAATAAACAATTTCAAAGGTAACAGATCTTTGTAATACTTAGTTTATTTACAGAATGACCTTAATTGCAGGATGTTCGGCCCCTCAGCTGTTGATCTGCAGTAACTGTGGCCCCAGGAGAAATTTAGTTGAATAGCCCTGGTCACTTCTCATCCAACCACAATCAAATTCACTCTATCATAGGGCTTCATGTATCTGGATAAATTTCTATTTATTAATTTTTTTCTGAACAATGAAAAGATGGAATAAAAAAAAGTCAAAGTGAAATATAAATGAATTTTTTTGCATTTTTTAAAAAGTAAGGAGTAGAAAGTACAGATAATTGAATTAAAATGTAAGGAGTAGAAGTAAAAAGTAGGCTGAAAATTAATTACTCCACTAAAGTATAAATAACCAAAATTTCTACTTGAGTAAAGCAGCAAAGTATTTGTGCTCAGTTACTTGACACCTCTGTATATCAGTCGGTTTTACAGATATCAAGCTATAATTTGGTGAGGTAGAAACTGAGAGTCATTCACAACCCACACTCCAAGAGCTACTCAAACTGCAAGGTCTTTGCTTCAAACTTTATCATTAACTGTTGGAGTCCAACATGTCTGTCTGTTATCAAAATATCACATGAACCGTGGTACACTTTTTGATGAAAGTTGCAGAAAGTAATCGCTGGATGTAGATCTACAACTG